CTTTTGTTTCACAGTAACACCCACCACTCTTGTCAAGCATCTGTGTTCCACCACCCACCTTTCACCTCCCAGTAAAAAAACACTGAAATGGTCAAAAAGAACTGAATGTTGGTTTGGAAAAGAACAATCTCCAATACTGTACTGCTGTCTCATTGCTGGGCTATCATGTACCATTTCCTTTAAAAGTCAGAAAAAAGCAACCGAGCAAAAAAAGATGAGTGAATGGAAAAAGAAGGGGAAACTAATCCTAAGGATAGACTGCAAACTGGGAGATGATGTCCTGAGGCACCCTCCATAGCATCTCAGTGTTGGAGCAGCACCTCAGCTGGGCAGGATCTTCCCAGAGCAGATGCTGAGGGAGCAGAAGCGGTCAGGCACGCGCCTTTGGAGAAAGCCAAGCCCTGCTGCCGGGCTGGGTACCAGGAGCAACTCAGCACCAGCATCCTGTTGGGACTGGGCACCACCTGGTGGTTCGGGCTCCCCCAGACTTGGGGAGCAGGTCTGGTAAACCGGGGCTTGCAGTGTTTCAGGGGTGGCTGGACTAAGCTGCCTAGCTGTCTTTACAGATTTGGGGTCTGTGTGCTTTTGAATATTTTATAACATAGTGGCTTTGACTATCTACAGGCAGAAACACTCAGGAACAAGGTCTGCAGCTGTATTTTAAGCAAATAAAATTTGCTTAGCACAGTATTAGGATTTTAATCCCCAAACATCACCACATTACTGAGTTCTGTTCCACGATGTGGCATTTTTAACTCTCTATCACTCGGGAGGTGATTTTTCCCCTGTACTCAGCACTGGTGAGGCCACGTCTTGAGTCCTGTGTTTGGTTTTGGGCCCCTCACCACAAGAAGGACATTGAGGTGCTGGAACGTGTCCAGAGAACGGCAACAAAGCTGGTGAGGGGTCTGGAGGACAAGCCTTATTAGGAACGACTGAGGGAACTGGGGTTGTTTAGCCTGGAGAAAAGGAGGCTGAGGGGAGACCTTATTGTTCTCCACAACTACCTGAAAGGAGGTTGTAGCGAGGTGGGGGTTGGTCTCTTCTTGCTAGTAACAAGTGATAGGACAAGAGGAAATAGCCTCAGTTACACCAGGGGAGGTTTAGGATGGATATTAGGAAAAATTTCTTCCCAGAAAGGGTTGTCAAGCACTGGAACAGGCTGCCCAGGGAAGTGGTGGAGGTCGCCATCCCTGGAGGTACTTGTAGATACAGTGCTGAGGGACATGGTTTAGTGGCGGGCTTGCCGGTGTTAGGTTAATGAGTGGACTAGATGATCTTACAGGTCTTTTCCAATCTAGGAGATCCTGTGATTCTGTGCTTTTGTGTGTATGTAAGGCATGGGGAAAGCCAGGTCGCAGCCCTGCAGCGCGGCGGGGGTGCGTGGGGCAGATGTGTGCCCACCCTCAGATCCCCGCATCCCAGCCACGGAGGATCCCTCTCCCGCACGGCAGCC